TGAGGAGCTCACAAGGTCAGTGAACAAACAGGGAAGTTTTCATGGGAAGTTAGCTAGAGAAGTCAGCAGGGGAAGCTCAAACAATATGGAGAGTGAGGGAATCATGATTGTGATCTGCAAGGTATATACAATGTTTCTCTTCCTGGCTGAAGAGGATCCAAACTACTGTACACCAACAAGTGCAATCTTGTTTCCTCACTGGAAGAGAGAGTTAAAGGGCTTGAAGAAAGTGTTTCTACACCAAAACACATCAGGGGAAATGAAAATTTCCTGGACAGGACACTGGATACTCTCCAGGAAGGGCAGAAAAGTGAATACATAGATCAGGAAAAAAAAATTTGGCAGAGACAAACACATGGAAACATGTGACCCAAAGAGGCAGAAGGATTAGGAGGCATCCCGGGGTAACTGTGGCTCTCCCTCTAGAGGATGATCCACAACTACCTGAACAAACCTTGCTATAGAACACTAGGGAAAACATGTGGTCCCCCATAAACTTAAGAAATCCAAGAGCCACCTTGAGAAAGAAGTGTATAGTGATGGCAGGTGATTCTCCATTGAGTCAAACTGAGGCAGTTACGTGCAATCACAATATGAGGTCAGGGGAGGTGTGTTATCTCCTAGTTGCTGAAATTCTTGTAACCCCAATCCATCCGTCTCAATAAATCTTGCTAAAGAGAACTCTGTGAAAAGCATGCTTGAAAAAGAATCACCTTTAATTTAGACAGCTGCCAAAGTGCTTGACATAAAGCTTGCAAAAGATACCCATGCCCACACCCTCAAAACCAACAAAAAAACGTTTATTTGGATATGTTAGCAATAAAGCCAAAGAGGCTGTAGGTGCATTGTGAGAAAAAGTTGTGAGTTGGTAATGGGTGATGGTTGATCACAGAACTTTGAGAAGACAGGCAAGATTTCAAAAGCCTGGAAGACAGAAAATGTCACCCTGCCTTCAAAAAGGGTAAAAAGGAGGGCCTAAAAATTATAGACATGCCAGCATGACATCTATACTGGGCAACCTCAAACTTGTCATCAACAGAATGCAAGACAACTTAGAAGTCTTGAGCTTTAATTAGCTTGTCATAAATCTCTCTGTAGATATCTATCTCCATCCCTCCCTCCATAAAAGAGATCTCCAGGGCAGACTCTAGGGCTGAGAAAGAGAAATATCTCAAAACATTGTTAAAAATGAGCAGATGGATATTTTGGGGTCAGTCTTATCTGAAAAAAAGATGATTAGCCCTTCAGTGTTTCATTTTAGAGAAAAGAGATTCAAACAGGTCTCAGGGCCCCCAGAATTTAGCAATGAATGAGTGCTAGAGTTAGGCTTATTTATTTGATGTCCAAGATTCTGTATACCAACCTCTTATCTTCTTGACAATAAACTTAACTAGTATGACTCATTGTGAATCTTTCTTTCTCGATTGTACAGTACTCCACTGTTACAAGTTTGACACTGTCTTAGTAGCCAAGACAAAAATAAGCACAGAGATAAGCATTGGCTAGGAGGCATAAATAAATGCTTGAATAGAGCTGAATAGAGAATTATATTATATCACAATAATTTAATATATTTTATAATAATATAATATATTGTTATAATGTATTTATAATAGAGAACCAGTTTGGTGTAGTAGTTAAGGTGCCTCACAGGGTTGTGGTCATGGGGAAAATAGGTGACAGGAGTATTAGGTATGTTCGTTGCCTTGAGTTATATAAAAAAAGGTAATCATCATCATAATGACACACGTGTAAATTATAACAAAGAAGTTAGTCTGCAAACTGGAATAAATTTAAGACAGAGATACTGGGTTATTAAAAAAACAGTCTGTGTGTCAAGAGCCAGAAGAATCCACAGTAGTCAGTCCAAAGTCAAAGCTGGAGGCCTGTCCACAAGACAAGGAGCAGCTGCACTTGGAACACAGGGTTGCAGGAATTCAGGGCAGGATGCAGGGCCATTGCTTCCAACCAGGGAAGAGGGTCTGGAGGATGATGTTACGTAGCCAGAGCTCCTGACTTTGCCTAATTAGGGGAATGAATGCCTTCTCCTTTCAAGGAGTCATGCAGATCTCCACTGCTGAGCTATTTTTAGCTGAGCACTCTCCCAAGCTCAGCATCTCACTCTAAGTTAGCAGCCAACTGTCTTGAGTCTGAATCAATGCTGGAAAGTGGCTGACGACTATTGGTAATTCTCTTCAGCCTCAAATCAAGAAACCAAAATGAACAGCATGCTTGTGAGCCCTTGGATAAACATGCTACAATTTACAGGACCCAGCACTGGTTTGTCGCAAACAAATCATGTCAGTGTCACCTTATTTCTTTCCTTAATAGAGTTACTAGCTTAGTGTAGATCAGAACAATGCCATAGATTTGAGTGTATCTAAGTGCACCTCAAGCAAAGCCTTTGATAAAGTCTCTCATGATGTTCTCCTTAATAAAATGGTAAAATACAGGCTAGGTGATAGTCATTAAATAGACTCACAATTGGCTGAATGTATCCAAGAATGCTTGTCAATGACTGTGTGCCACAGGGCTCTGTACTGCCCCCTGTGCTGTTCAACATTTTACCAATTACTTGGATGAAGGAGTTGAGGGGAAATTTATCAAGTTTGCAGGGGACACAAAGCTGCAGGAATGACTAATTCTTTAGAGAAGAAAGAGAATATTAAAAAATATCAAAATAGGCTTAAGCAATGGGCTGAAATGAAGAGAAATGTAAAATTATGCATCTGAATAGGAAAAATGTAAGGCACAAATATAGGATGGGGGAAACCTGGCTTGTGAGTAGTACATGTGAAAGGGGTCTAGATGTCCTTGTCAACCACAAGTTAAACATGAGCCAGCAGTATGGTGCAGCTGCAACTGCTATTTTGATATGTATTAACAGGAATACAGACTTCAGATCATGGGAAGTACTGTTTCCAATTTACTTTATCCTGATTGAACACCACTTGGAATATTGCATCTGGTACTGGGCACCACAGTTCAAAACGAACAAACTGAATTCAGAGAAGGGCTACCAAAATGATAAAGGGACTGGAAATCAAGCCGTGATGAATGGTTAAAGGATCTGAATATGATTAGCCTACCACAGAGATGACTAAGGAAGATATGATAGCACTCTGCTACCTGAATAGCAGAATTGTCACACAGAAGGAGTGCACTTATTGTCGATTGTATCGGAAGGTAGAATCAGAACCAATGGGTTAAAACTACAAGGAAGTTGGTTCATGACAGATGTCAGAAGAAATTTCCTGACTGCATGAGCTGTCAGATGGGTAACATTGTTGCCACATGAACTGATGAGGTCTTCAATGGAGAACTTCAAATAGAGGCTGGATAGTCATCTGTCAGAGATGCTCTAGTAGATCTAACAGCAGTGAGTGGGAGCTAGACTAGATGAAATTGAAGGCAGTACATACACTTAAATATTGTAATATTTTAGTCTTTTACCTGCACAATGGACTTATTTCAATCTTTTATAAATTGGTGAATTTTGTTATCCTTTTCTATTTTCTCTTCTGAGGCACCTGCTTTCTATCATTGTATTTTGACATTTACCATTACTGTATAACAAATGCAATAGTATTTACTGAACCCAAGCAATTATACTAGAAAAAACAAACAGCAGCTTAGTAGACCTGTTTTCATTAGGTAAAGAATAACTCCCCCTCCAAAGTAACTAGTCTCTAAAGCGTCACTGTAAAATAGGTATTTACAATGGATATTCCATATCAGTGAACACACTTAAAGAACAATGAAGGAAGAGTAAAGTTAACAACTCTTGGATCTGCACTGCAGATTTAAAAAGAGAGTGATTCATTATGTGGACAGATGAATGACTGGATATCAAACAGAAGCTGAATGAAAGGACATCATGTAAGCAAACTCTGTTGTACAGCAATAAACTATAGGTAATATGTATACTTGAACACAGCGAATGTTAGCGTACAGCCTTGTGAATGATGCTTTTGTACTGGTATATAAATAATCTTTTTTTCCTTTTCATTATATGTACTTGCATTGATGAGGAGCCCAGTAACAGATAAAAATGAAGACTTATTCTGCAGCTTTCTATAAAAAAACTCTGAAAGGACAGTCTATCCAAAAGACTGTTAAACAGCATAATTTACACTACAGCAAAATTATACTATACAAGAGTAAAATTATGCTATACCTATATTGATCTGAGGTGAGACTGGCCCCAACCTTGTTGACCTTCCAGAAGAGCCTGAAGACATAGCTTTGCCATCTGGCCTGGGGATCTGGTGATGTTGGTGGAGAGCCTGCTAAATGGCTATATGTCTAGGAAAATGAATGGTATTCTTCCACAGATTTAATTGTTTTAAACGGTTTTTTTTAATGTTTTAATGATTCTGTGGTTACTTTTTGGTTATTCTTGTACTATTTTGGGGGATTTTTAACCTTGTAAGTTGCCCAGAGTCATGGCAGTGAGATGGGCAGCCATATAAATGTAATAATTTATATGGGTGTCCATTATTAAATATAGGCAGTAAGAGAAAGAAGTTATTGAGCAGAAACACTGAGATACGGAGAAACTGAAAAGGAGTAAAAAGATTATATAAAAATGATATTCAAAACCTCCTTGGAAGAGATCACCTACAATATGATTGTGGGATATAGATAAAAAATTAGCTTGGATACTTATTTCTCCTTTGTCGGCATTCCCAGGGGATGATGGTGGAAATGATAAAACTTGCATAGTGATGGAAACCAAAAGAGTTATGAACATGTGTGCCACATCATGATGCATGTACAAAAGGATTTGCGTCATGATGTCACAATGTGCATTTTATCACTTCACAGTTTATACCGGACACCTATGGTTTCCTTCATGGTAAAAAATAACATTCTAATATGAAACACTTGCTTTTCAACAAGAAACATCAGAGCTACAGATAGTATGAAAACTACTTCCTTTGCTTTACACATTACACAATTGCAATGGTACAACTGAATAAAAAGTTAAAATCACTTACTTCACGCTCTTCCTCCTGTTCTTTTCTAATCTGTTCCAAGCGAAACTGCTCTGCAATTTCTCTTTCTTGTGCTTCCCTCTGCAGAACAAATGATACACTAGCAAGTCAGTTCAAATACAATTTATCGTTTACGTGACTTTCCATATTTGAAAGGTTTACATTTCCTCACAGACACAATACTGATGATTCAGAAAAGTATATTTCCTATATCTGTTTCTCTCAACTAGAAAACAGTCCTTCTTTTAAACTCTAAAACTGTTCAGACGTTTTTTTTAAAAATAGCAAGTCTAATAATAGAAAGATACATATGATTCCCATCATGTTGAAAACCCTGTGAAAATAACCATAAGCCTTATAGGCAAGCCCTGCCAACGATAGAAGCACGCATTTCCTGGCATCCTCCAGTAGGTCAAAACAGGCATGATGGGAGTCACAGCAGCATGATGAAAGCTATACATACTTCTGCACACATTGCCAGAGTGACTTCTTCATATATACAGCTGGATGTGTGAAAAGCTCCTTTACCTGAAGGGATATTGCCCAATCAGGAAATTTCTTAAGTGAAGGATCTCACTTTGCACATAGATGTTTGCCCAGAGAACTGGATCTCCTAACAACTGCTGAACATCTTTCAGAAAGGGAGGGTGTTCATTGTTCTGATAGTCTGCATAGCCTTAAGATCCTCCTTCCATGTAGTCATTGAATTGGAATCATGTGACTTGCCTTACTTTTACCCCAAGTGTAAATCAAAATATCTTTATCATTAAATTGTAATAATATTACATATTAATTAATTAATTAATTAAATGTATATGCCACCCACTTCCCTCAGATGACTCTATAATTACCTTTACCTTATTTCTTCTATTTCCACAGAATTTTATATCAGAGTTCTTTTCCTGTTTGCATTATTGTGGCAGGACTAAACATTATTAGGCAGACTGAGATAATCAACACAGGGAGACAATTTTGGATATCATGGTAAGGCAGTAAAGAATTATTTTATTTATTACTATGGTATTTTTCTAGTGTTAAAGTGAAACTTGCTTACTTTTTATAAGTTTACTTAGCAAAGTAGGAATTTTCTGAGATTTTGGGGGATAGGTAAGCTTACTATGATAGACTGAAAGCAGTAGAAGGTTGCAGTTTTGTGTTTACTAGAATAATAACTTGGTTCTTTTTCTAGTAAAGCTATAATAATTAATTGAGAAAAGTAGCGCCAAAAGCAATTGCAGCCAAGCAATTTTTCTCATTCAAAAAGGCTCTGTCCAGTAGGAATGACACAACATCATGATAGTTCTCCAGTAGGAAAGCTGTATTTTCCAGAATGTCAGTGTGTTGAAGACCTTCTCCCACCACCACAAGTATAGGAGATCATTGGTGGCTCACTGAAAAGGGTTGGGAGAGGGACCAGACCCTGGGATATC